GATAAGAGAAAATGAATATGTAGGGGATATGAGGGAGAGAGAAGAATTCATTGTGACTCTGAAGTTTCTAGCTTGGAAGGTGGAGTGAATGCTGATGGATTGAGATCAGAAATTAATTAGGATCCAGAATGTTAGGAAAGATGTGGAGTTTAGTTTTGTGTGTGGTGTATTTGAGATGCCTAAGGAGCAGTCGGAAATGCAGATCTTGAAAATGGAAAAACCTGCCCAGCTAGAGGGAGACATGGAGTCCTCAGCTCAGATTGAGCAGTGAAGCCAGGTGAGGAGAGGAGACAATCTGAGGAGATCACGTAAAAGTATAACGGGCCCTAGGTGCACCAACATATATAGCCCTGTAAAGATTTAACTGATTGATCGTGTTAAAAAACGAACAAACAAACAAAAAAACCCAAACTTTTTGCCGTCGAGTCAGTTCTGACTCAGCGACCCTATAGGACAGAGCAGAACTGCCCCTTAGGGTTTCCAAGGAGCAGCTGGTGGATTCGAACTTTGGACCTTTTGATTAGTAGCCAAGCTCTTAGTCACTGCGCCATCAGGGCTCCATTGTGTTAATAGTAGGTCCCTATATGAAGCAAAAGAAACGGAAACATTTTATTGGTAAATCTACAAGATTCCATCCAAGTTCTCCAAAGTCAGCTGTTTCTATTAAAGCAGGTTATTAAAATAGAATCCTTTCCATACAGCTGTGTGACTGAGCAAGTGAACATCCTGTTTGATCCTTAAAAAAAAAAAAAAAAATGCCATAAAGTCGATCTGACTCATAGCGACCCTTTAGGACAGAGTAGAACAGTCCCATAGGGCTTCCAGGGAGCGGCTGGTGGATTCGAACTGCAGACTTGGTTAGTAGCCGTAGCTTGCCGTAGCTCTTAACCATCTATTCTTAGTTCTCGTCTGTATACAACCTGACCTCATAATTGGTCTCCCTATGTCCACTCTTAGGAAACCCTGGTGGCATAGTGGTTAAGAGCTACAGCCGCTAGCCAAAAGGTCAGCAGTTCGAATCCACTAGGCCTTGGAAACTCTGTGGGGCAGTTCTCCATCCTATAGGGTCGCTATGAGTCAGAATCGACTCTACGGCAATGGGTTGTGGGTTTTTTTCTTTTTTTTTTTTTTTTATGTCCACTCTTGCCTCACTACAAGGAATTCTCTACATAGTAGTGATGGAGATTTTTTTTTCCCCTCAACTAAATGTGATATCACTCCCAAGTATGAAATCCAGCCTCTTTCTTTGGCCCTTGACAACCTCTCCTATCTCATCTCCTACATCTCCCTTTCTCGCTCATTGGGTTCCAGCCCAAGGAGCCTTCCTTATGTTTCTACCTTAGGGCTTGTACACATGATAGGTGCTCAGTAAATATTTGTGAAATAAATGAATGGCTCTGCCTCATAAGTTTGTTGTGTGAAGTAAATGTGATAGTATATGAATTCTTAAGCGATGTGCCTGGTCCGTTACAGGCACGTAATGAATACCACTTTTGATAAATTTTGCCCTTGTGTTTGCCCCAGTCCATATCCCTGCTGGTGTTTCTCCATCCTCTTCTGCTCTAATCTGCCTTCTTAAGTCTTCCCATCCAACCAATTAACTGTCTTAGGTTTCTGCATGTCTACAGGCTACAGGGCACATGTGTTGACATCTCTCTTTCTTCAGTTGACACTTAGTATGCCTTCATCTAATTCCTTGGATTTTTCACACACATCGTCTCCTGAGTAACCCCATTTTTTATTGTGCTGAAATAATTTTATATGGGTTCGTGGTCCCAAACACTGAACACTTAGCAACCTTCTTGCTGGAAATTCCCAGAAGAATGGGAATCCTCTGGAGACTCAGTCCCTAGCCTACCAAGGAGCTCTTCATCACTCATAAAGTAGTATCCTGATCACATCATCATCATATGGGTTTGGAACCAGGAATTCATAAGTTACAGCCAGCATTTAATTGAACATCAACTCTAAATCAGGCATTGTCTTAAGTACTTTACATACATTACATCAGTTTATGAGTTTGGTTTTATTAGTATTCCTGTTTTATACTTGCTAACTTGCCCAAGGTCACACTGCTAGAAATTTGCAAGTTAGGATTTAAACCCACGTGGACTAATTTCAGATACCTGCCCTCCACTATGCTTTTTATATTCTGTAGTGCCTTGGTAGCAGTTCCAGGGTCGTAGAGTTAACTTTAGTTAAGTGTTTGATTTTAAATTTTTAAAGAATATGTCGATATAGTTTTTAATAAGTTTCAACAGTTCCTCTCTGTCATTCTGCCCTACCACTCTAAGTTTCATTTCCCTTAAGGCACCTACTTTTAACAATATTTTCAGAATTTTTTTCTTTATCATAAAATTTTTTTTCTTTTTTCTCTAACCTCTTTTAGTTTTATACGTGACCCTCCTCTCCTTTTTTCTTTTTTTTTGCCTTCTGGAAAGTCAGCCCATTTCTACTTAGTTAATGAAAGTATTAAATACAAATGCTCCAAAGACTTAAATACAAATGATATATATATATATGTACACCCCCTCGACTGACTCCAAAAGAATGGTGTTCTACCTATGTCCAAGGCCCACTTCTAAAATTAATTAATTATATTTTTACCTGTATGGATTCAATTACATGAGTTTCTGCTTGAAGGAGACCTACTTTTATTAAACTCCAGGATGCTGAATTCTGCAAGCCCCCAGGACGGAAGCTGTTATTTGACAATTCATATATGATTGTATCACCTTGATGCTTAGAGACATATGAACAACAGCCCTTCCTGGCTGAGGAAATGGGTTTGATGCTCTTTTCAATGCTTGGCCTTATGGAAGCAAGAATCAAGTGTTTTCTGCATAACGTGAAGAGAGCCTTGTTTTTAGATCCTTATCTTGTCTCTACTCTTCTCTTCACAAAGAAACACTGTAATTTTTAATCAGCAACACCAAAACACCTCTATGAAAATGGCTGTGTTTTTCAGCATGCAGTGGAACAGTTTCCTAAAGAGTGAGGTCACCAGAAGCACACAGCAGAAAAATCCCAGATGGCACTAATACTTGATTTCATTTTTAGCACGCTCGTATTCAGCAGATGGATTGGAAGGCTGACCTCCCTGACACTTCTGCATCACTGCCTGCTACTCCAGTTGCCTTTGTGCATGTTTTTTCATAAGGCTTCTCTTGATACCTCTGAGATTGATGCCTGGTCACCTGCCTGTGTTATGCTTCATTACGCCCAGGCTCTGTGTGGTTGAGAGTTGCTGTATTCTATAAAAGGGGAAATGTAGCTTATCAGTATCTCAGACTTTTCCTACAATCTTTCAAATTGCTTATAACTTCTTGGAGAGCATTTTCTTAGCTTTCTAGGTATACCTCTGATTTGTACCTGTTTTTAATTTACACTGTTCTAATTTTTCTGCTTTCTTGTATGACATGACTAAATTAATAATAATATTTAAAAACTCTCTAGAAAATGGCTAAATTTACCTGTTTCCAACATACCTACTAGACACAAAAATCTAATTATTTTAATGTAAATATTGCTGATTTTCCCCTTACACTGTAGCTTCAGTGATTAAGTGTACAGACCTGGGTTGGAGTTCTTGATTCTGCCATTTACTTTAGAGTAAGTTACATTTACTTTAGGGTAAACCTCAGTTTCCTTGTTCATAAAATAGTGATATTATTAGTGCCTACCAGTTAAGATTGTTGTAAAGATTAAAGAAGGTAATGGATGTAATGTTGTCACAGTATCTGGCACATCATTAAATGCACAGGGATGTTTTTGGTATGCATATTACATTTTTGTTGTATATGTGTATAAAGTACACCTTATAAATAATAAGTTTGTTTAATTTTTATTTGGATTGCGAGGGAAGTGAATTATTTGTTAAGGAGGAAGAGTCTTTAATGGTCAGATTGATGCCTTGTGTTATGGATTGAATTTTGTGTCCCCCAAAAATGTGTGTCAACTTGG